AAAAGTCACCTGAAAAAGTTTTGAAATATGATGAAAGTAATTCATGGTAATTCTTAAACAAGTTACTATATCACGCGAAAATTCAGGGATTGGAGGCAAATAAATTATATTAATATAACCTATTATTTGATAACGGCATATTTTCTCCAGAATAAACTGACAGAACGACTCGAAGAGCTAAATAATATCACATTGAAGCAGAATTGAACAAGGGTCCGAAAAGGACTCATATTCAAGAAGCATACACTTCGTCACAGTTTGCCTGAAGTTAATGGACTCAAGCTTGGAAGAGGAAAACCTTCATCAGTCCGTGACAGCTGGTATCTGCAAGAGAACATCATTCGGCAAAGGCAACAGAAAGAGGAACATGTCATGAAACATCTTCAGAAAATTTGAGGCTTTCTTATTTGCGTCACTGCTTTGTGCTTGAAATAGAAAGTCATTGATGAGGATATGGTTCTAGTACTGAAGTATGCAGGCATAACACTGACTGCAAGTGGCAAAGTTTTCCATAATTACGGAGTTATAAAATAAACAACACAGCATGGAAAAATATACATTGAATAGAGGAACGAATCGATAAAGGAAAACAAATGCAATATCCCCGTAGAAACGTAAACCTTTACATGAATTAGAGCTAGGTATACTGTATTGTGCCAGAGAAGCAGCCCTTGATGACGACAATGATGTACGCTGTGCAAATATCTCAGGTAGACTCAGCAAATCATGACATTGCAATCGAAGAATGAATCACTGCAGAATGAGTAAAATCATGTTTGAGCCTGCCAAGCGGTGCTTTGCTATGGGACCACCGGAATCGTTTTTTGATCTGTGCTAGTAAAGTCGGATTTTTTACAAATGACGGACCATTTGGTTCATGGGTTAATGAAGATAGCATAAGACAGGGTTTATTTGGTTAATCGAATGATTGGTCAGTACTGATGCTTCGACCTGTGTCTCGTGCGGGGTCATAAGGAGGGGCTGCGAAGATATAAAGGACTTTTGAAGCCAATGATTCTCCCTATATTGAATAAGGCCCGTTATGCACAAACAGAGACTCTTTGATACTGGTCAATCGTCCGATTGACCAAATTGTTCACACCGTCTATAAATAAACCGTATTTTATGCTGTTTTTATTTTTCGACCTTAAACGTAACGCACTACCTCTTCGTTCTGGTTAGTCATGATATAGCACACACAGAGATTTGCCAAGACAATGGCGCTGACTTCCAAAATCTAAATTGAAATCATGAATTAGCCACACCAGCTTAATGAGTCGAGTCATGCTTCTTAAGGCTTACGTTGTCGAAGCTGCGCTTGATGACCGGCTCGTAAAATCCTGCCGCTTCCTTGAACTTCGTTTCTTGCATGAATAACGTATGCGCCACGTTTAGCCGCCACACACTGTGCTCGCTGCAGAATTCCACAGACTTGCGAAATACCTTCTCTACCTTCACGTAATCCCCGGCGTCCCAGAAAATTTTCGCCTGCGCCATAAGAACGGGAAGATACCTGCAAAAAGATGTGATTTTCAGGCAACAAGTGCAGACGTGCCTAAAGAGGCAAACTGAACACTGAAGGGCTGTTTGGCTCCAGTAGAAGCAGGACTTGGAAGCGAGTCAAGCGTTCGACTAAAAGATAAAGATAACACGAGCATGAGGAAGACCTGTGAGGCATGTCTCTTGCATACCTAAAACTAGAGATTTATGTTACCGTATGAAAGCGTTGACAAAACTACATTTATCTCGAACAGCTCATCTCTGCAACAAAGAACCGACTCTGCGAAATCAACAGAAGAACAGAATGGCATGAACGACACTGGAAAGATTGAAAATATAGTTATCATACCAAGTGCAGTGCCCTTGTGTCTGAAATAGAAACGTGTGCCCAAAGCTTGAAAGCCATTTATAAACTGTGGACTACGCAGCGCAGCATTGAAATGAGTGTGTTGGAAGTAAAATGTGGACAAGGGAAGAGGAACGAGTGTGTAGAGGTAGAGCACAAACAAGAGATTGTGATGTCATTATCTGAGTAAAGATATTGATGCGACAACTGACAGTACACGTTGCAACAAGAACCGACTATCGCTGTACCAAATTGACAATAGATTCGGTTCCAAGAGAGAGTAGACGACCTGTGGGAAGATTTCCAGATCGATGGCAGAATGAACTTGAATAAGTTCATTGGATCAAGATGGACAAGAATCACAGAAAACAGAAGTTGAGGGCAAAGTGTTGGAGAAGAATTCACTCAACAGTGCATCAAAAGCGAATGATGATGTTAGTGCCATGTCTGATATCTCTTAAATATGAGAATATTTAATCGAAAATCGAAAAAAAGCAATATTTCAAGAGGAAACTGTTTAGATCGTACGCTTCTCTGGATAATCTCAAGAAATGATTTGAATAATTACGATAGATAATGCAGACGGAAGTTAACTATATGGAAAAAGGACAACAGTGGTGGAAACTTAAGGAAAGCAGTCTCCGAAAATGGATAATCCTGGAAACATGATATAATGTAATTATGTGGAGATGCGCATAAACAGGGAATAATGGTGGAGGATGTCCGAAAGGTACAACTATCTTGAAGAACACGTATTTTTGCATGGACAGGAAGAAAGTGAAAGAGTTATATTCAATTCATTGAGACACCCAAACCCTCAGGTTTATGAAACGATAATTTGTTATACTGTTCTAGCTGTTCGTCGAATGCTTCCACGGCCTTGCTGGCGCCCTCTTCGTTTTGATTCTTTCGCATCTCGTGAACTTCGTTCGTCAGCTTGCGCAAAACTTCGGTGTGATACACAGACATGACTTCAAACTTCTTGAAAGATTCCTCCGGCGACGTCTGACCAGTAATTATGGCATCCAAAAAGTCGAATGTGTTCTAAATTAATTTTTCACGTTTCAATGTGCAATCGTGGCATAAAAAATGTATTCACATTGTTTAAGAAATATTCTGTAAGAGGAAACAATAATGTGACATGAGGAGACCATGGGTCAATGATTACAGCACTCATGTTCAAACGCTAACTCCGCAATAGGTGTAAGCAGATCGGCTATCCCAGCGATCCGGCAGAGGCTTTGAAAGATCAGTCTGTTGTTGAGTCATATATGAATACAGAGTTGTATAGAGATAATGAATCTGTGCGCGCTTACGGCTAATCCTTTGCATGACTATGCAATCCAACATCTCGACAGTGGCTGGTCTCCATTTTCTGATAACAAAAGTCTTTCGGTTCCTGATGGACTGGGCCTGAACTTTCAGTGCAGTAGGCCTGTTATCTGGGACGCTACAATTATTATTTCCTGTTCAGAGATTTGGTGACATAAGTTGAGCTTGTATTCTGGTCTTCATTCAAGGAATACAACTTTAATCGATCATCAGATTTTCGTTTGCCTAATTTATGGATCATTACCCTTAATTCTGAGGGCGTTCTGAGTGTAAATGAGGAGAACAACCGTGCTTTGGATAAGAGTTAATGCGGGAGATGGTCCAGGCAGGTTAATGGAGTCCACAATTTGCTTCTGGCTTTATAATCCAACATTGCTTAAAGTGTTAAGAGCTGTGTCAACTCCCGATTACCGTATTTTCCGGCGGACGCCAATACTCGTTTATGAAGAGATGGGAACACAACGCTGGGTAATGGTTACATTAAGCTTAACGAATTTCATCCGACTTGATGAAGCTACAAACAAGTGATAACTCTAAAGTTCTGAGGCACTATTACTACCAATGGCTGCTTTCGAAGGCAAAGATGTAAAGTCATTTCATCGTACTGGAGTTGCACAGCGCAATCGTGCCACCTTCCTCCCAAACGCCCGAGGCATGCTCAGAGTATCTGAGCAGCTACAGTGCGTATCTGATTCGGTTGAAAAAATCGTCCGTCTTGCATCAATTAAAAACCCATTTTAATTTTGCATACCAACGCTGTATAGATCGAGCAATATGAAATGACTTATGCCATTACCGGGAGTCATTGCAGCTAGTCACCTCACAAGATATGAATTATACATGCGGCTATGGTTAATGGGTGCTTAGTCGGTGCTCGAACGCGTATTTGTTTCGCCGAACATAGAGATGCGGTTCTGCATCTGATAGAATGCAGATGTTAAAGTATCAATGAGTCGTCGTCTGCATAAACAATCCCATTGGCCTTTAGAAGCCAGGAGACAATGCTCTTAGGCCGTGTAAATTCAGCAAGATGATATGACTCTGAAGCTGGAAATAAACTAAAAATATGAAAAATTATTCATTTAATTTATTTCTTCAGCTGTATGTTGAATTTTGTAGCTGTTAGTGAACATCGCGTGGCAACGCCAGCATTTTTCCTCTAAGGGCGGCTACCCTCTTTGAAAAGCTGTGCTGAATGGCCCAACGACACAAGGCTGCGGCTCCATGCTAGAAAAGTTTGTTGGAGAAGCTACACAGACACACTATGTGCATATTTCGTGGCCAAGACGGAGTACGCAAATATGGCTTCGTTTAAAGTTTTCGCCCCTATCAAGGGGCCAACGAGTCTCCATGATTGAGCGGTTTCTTTCTGGTCGTACGCCGAGTGCGAATCAGCATCGATGGTTGAGGCCGCTTTTCATTGGTCGTGTCGTTATCTGTCAGAGGGCTGGAATATCGATTTGCAGGAACAGCTGGCACACCCTTGGTTGTTTTCAGTCCGTCTTTTCTACAGTAGTAGCTACTCATGAGGATTAAAAGAGCCGCCAGAGTTCATAGTAATTGAAGTTTCATCCGAAAGACAGGAGCGTTGGATTAGTTTTGTCCGCACGTCATAGAAATTATATAGCCAACCTAAAACCCTTTTGCTCTGACCCTGTTCGATCGCGCAATCTGCACGATCGATCAAGCTGTTAGTTTGCTCAGGAAACTCTGTAAAACCAAAGAGAATAGGATCGTACCGATAAAATTGGGTAATACCTATTTCATGGTTACGAACAACGTTCAGAACATCAGAACTACGTCAGTCACCTTGATCATTTCGGCCGACTGGTGATCGGTGACCAATCACGCCTGCTGCGACACTTCGTATTGTCGTAGCGCGAGAAATTTATCCATCTCCTGACAAGGTCGTCGATGGCCTCGGCAATTTCCTACAGACAAACTTCCCAATTCCGTCGGACGTTCCGTCGAAGTTTTTCTTCTAGCGTTTGACAAGCGGACATCTACTGCAAGGCAGCGCCTAAGCCTTCCCTTGAGACTGTCATTAGGCGATGGTGACTGTTTTCTAAGGAGCAAACCCGTCGAGCTGGAGCCCAGCGACTTTCAGGTAGTCTCACCGCTCTCTCTCTCTCTGTGATTCCTCATTTGTCGCAGCAACCTCTGTATCTGGAGATCGTTCAATCATCCGCAGTTTCTGGACGCGCCATATGGCCAGCTGCTAGACCCACCGAAGAACCAGAGTACCGGTAAAATCACATTTTCCAATCTTACCGGCCAAAAACGGTTGAATCGCAGATTGTTGGACTTATGCACGCGGGAAAGCACTTCTACAGTGAACCAAAGTTTTCTCCTTATCATTTTACATAAAGCTGCACTATTTCTTCCATGCAAGTTGTCGCTGTTCAACCTCTGTCAGAACTCAAGGTTTGAATCTGGGCCAAATTCTTTTGTAAATGGGTGCAAAGGATTTAGCCACCTTCACATTAGAAGAGATTCGGTATCTACGCTGCGACACCGTCGACTTATCTCTGCCGATGGTGACAGACGTTCTTTGAATCTCTGCCCGAACTGAGGAACGAAGTTCTAACAGAAGTACTTTCTGTTATAACAGATCCATATAATCTGTTACGATAATTGGCTTTTAACATTTAAAATGAAGGTTTAAAAGACCTTGCCTGATCTAAGTACTTGTAAGTAAACGATGCGTTTTCAGCTAGAAGATCCGCTGCCATGTCGTAGTACTGAAAGACGCTGTGTTCATTTAGGCATATGACCTAACGGCCATTTTGTCACCTCGTATTTGCAGTACAGCAGCAAAAGGTTCCTGAAGGTCTCGGCTGGAAAAATGTCTTGCAGCAGCAGGAACTGTAGCTTGGCGAACCCTTCCGACGGTTTCGAGTCGAAGTTTATTAAGGCCTGGTTGTGTAACGTTATGGCATCCAATTCCTCTTCGTTTCTTGGAGGCATGTCGGTCATTGCCTCGGCGGCTGCCTTGTCTATGAAAAAAAGATTCAACGAAACAAATGATATTTGCTTCATTTAAATCGCGTACAATTCTTCAGTGTGTATTCAATGGCGGCTTTAAGGTTGAAAGCTTCGATCAGGGCCGTTTCCGAAAGAACCAGCGTGTTCCCAACTGAATACACCTCAAGACCGTCCGTTACCATACCAACGCTCAGTTCTGTAAAAACGCAGTCCAAAGGCGGCATAAAAACATTTCTTCATAACATAACTTTAGCGTCTTCGTTGTGGATAAAAAAAACAACTTAAGACCACATGACAAGCGATATTTGCAATACTGTTACAGTCTCCTCAAAGCACCTTAAACAAATCGACTGAAATGTTTTAGAGTAGCTTGCAACTCAACTCTTACTCGTCAAAGATACTTAATAGTACAAACTAGACATTTTGGCTTGTTTGTGAAAAGAGGCAGCAGCTTCCTGGAAAAATAGACGCTACGAAGTCCGTGAGTTCAGTACTATGTCCCAGTACAGCGCAGTATTTTAATAAATTGATTATTCATGCGTTGGCTAGTTATATGTGAAAACAGAAAATGAATAGTTTAGTTATGCTCGATGCAGTTCGTAGGGCACAATACGAAAAATCAGTACCCACGTCTCAGTCCCTGCCTGGTAAGCATTTTTCAGTGTGAATTGGTAGTGCTTTGTTCCACTGTAGCTATGATACGTCGAGCCGTACCTATCGCCTGGTACTAAAACTATCATATGCACTATGAAATATAAATCTCATATTCTTCTTTACATACAATGTTACCGTATGCGGCTACACTGAGCAGTACCATGGTATGGAGTCACACGTATGAAACTACTACAAAGTACTTTCATCAACCGACTTATCCTCGTTTGTGACCATGCCAAAACATAAGCCGATGTTATTCCAATCTTCATTGCTCCCTGCTCTCCGCCTCCATCGCTGCCGCCGATAAATTAGGAAATTGGGTCGTTTTAGCGCATCATTGAACCTCCGAGGAAGCACTTATGGTCCAATGAAGTTCAGCAACTAATTGTTGACGTCAGGTGGTTATCTTACATGTGAAGCACCTAAAGAGTCTACTTCTTTTGTCATCGTAAACGACGTATGGCACTGCATATGGAACTCCCTTAGGGAGACTTCCCTCACTGTTCGTACCATTGTTCTTTGCGTATTTGCACAGATTCAGCGCGGTAGACCGAGGAAGGCGGAATTTAACAGTTCTTTTTCCACCCACATGCACAGCTAACTGTCGAGTAATGATGTTTCTATATGAGACTACTTATATTTCATCCCGATAGACATAGGCAAAGTTCTCGGAGCAGCTCGCTATGCATCCATTTTTGATGTGGTCACCTCTGACGTTTGGACACAAACCACTGCTTGGTGTCAACGCTCGGTCCCGCAGCCACCAAAATTAATCAGTGTACCTGCACAGTAGTCATTCAGCTACATCAGCTTCTGCGTGATTCAGGCCATCATGGCATATGTCATTGGGTAGCTGTTTGCGACTGAAACACCATCCCGTTGTCAAATTGTGAATGTAGATGCTTTTCGTCCTATTTTAGGATTCCATGGTAATGACAGCGCGTGGTCGATAACTCAGCGCTCTGTCACTCAATCGGGAGTCGAAGTCGACATAATTACAGGTGGTCATCTGTATCAAATAATTAATTTAATCCCTCGCGTTATGCATCATTCAAAAGCTTTCCGACAGCACAATAAGAAACTTTCGTCACGACTATCAAGTTCAAAGTTGGCCCCGTATTACAGACAAGATCGTCAGCCGTGTCCGAGATGGAAAGAACCACAATTTAAGAGTTCTGAGTACAAGTCTGAGCACCCTCTTACCAAAAATCATGGCGTACTCCAGCGATGGAGAGAGAATACCTAGAAAACTTTTCAGCTATGAACAAGCGGAGGAAGATCTGCTTAAATAGCAGATGAAAGCGGATATTAATATTTCCATATATGATGATGCGAAGATTGAAACTGCATGAAAAGTGGCAAGGCGGTTAAAAACGATAAAATTCGCCCCGAGATGTTTATAGCTGTTGAAGAATAAGATGTGCTGTGGAACACTGTCTACCAAACTGAATAAACTACGCGTGAGATACTAGTAGGTTGAAGAACCGGGGTGGTAGTACCCTGGTTCAAAAAGGGAAACCATGGGGAGTACTCCAACTATCGCAGCATTACTTTATTGAGCCTCTAAGGAAAAGTATACGCAATGGCATTAAAATGGAAGTGCTGTGGAATAATTGGCTCTAAGATCCAAGAAAAGCAATGCGGCTTCATATCAGGCTGAAACGCCTTTTACCAAATCTTTGCGTTACGCTGCATTGTTTAGATATAGTGGTAGTTCGTTCATTCCAATTACATGTGTTGTTAACGTGGAGATAGTCTATGACCGGATTCAACGCAACAAGCTATGGGAGAGTCGGCAGACATATGGGATCAGTGGCCAGTTGCCACTGGTCACCAAATCACTATGTTGATAGCAGCTGCTGCGTCAGAGTAAATGGCATCCCGTCGCGACCTTTCACTACTGGCACTAGTCTCCGTCAAGGCTGTACTCTGCTTGTGTTGTACATAGGTAGAATTAATGATTAATTGGACTTAATGGGAGGAAAAGATCGATTGGCGAATTGGAATGGCCTGCTGCCTGAACCACTGTGACTAAAGCGGAGTTCAGTCTGAAGCTTAAGCGTCTTTGTGGTCCAGTTGACCTTCAACCGATGTTCACCAACGGTCATTAGTCGTGGATCATGAATGAAAAGTTTCGATCTCCAGTACAGGCAACTTAAATAGGCTTTCTGAGACCAACCACTGGCCTGACGCGTCTCGACATGAACCAGAGCTAAGATATTCGAGAGAGCATGGAGGTACCCGCTGCTTCTACAGATGGAGAAGTCAAACTGCAATGGCTTGAATATGTCCTTCGAATATTTCTAGAAAGGAAGACGAAACAACCACTATTTGCCAAACCGACCAGCCGGGAACAACACGGACTACCAAGAACAATCTACGGCAAGTGTATGAAAGGACTGTGCTCCAGACTATGATTATTTTCTGCCGAAGCTCAAGTGCGGGAACCTTGGCAACACCGTATGATGCGTCTGTCTCCATGAACCGAAAGAATTTTTGGTGACTAATAAGAGTTTTATGTCCTGCTCAAGAGCAGCTTTTG